GATGAAAAATCGGTACAGACGCGCTGCGCACACACAGACACACACACAAACACACACACACAAACAGACGCACGCACACACACACACACAGACAACCTCTCGTCAATATGCGTTTTCTGCATTGCATAGCTGCAAAAAACGCGGCTGTTACACAGCACAAAACGCATAAAAATCGGTACAGACGCGCAGCGCACACACACACGCACAAGTCCCCAAAGTTTCAGCTCCGTAGCTTTTGCCGGTCTCGAGATGAAAAACCGATACAGAGGCCCAGCGCACACACAGACACATCGCAGCTTTTATAGGTCCGGAGATGAAAGTGCGTGACAGACGCACACACAGGCACACAGACACACGAACACACAGACAACCTCTCGTCAATATGCGTTTTTCGCATTGCATTGCTGCAAAAAACGCATAAAAATGAGCAGGAATACGCTCGTAAATTCTCCGATTTCGGAGTTGAGAGTGGTGATAAAACTAACACACACCTACACACCCACACTCACACATAAACATACACACACACACACACATACATACAATCTCTTGACCGTACGCGCTCTTACATTTACATAAGACGCAACAACGCTTAAGAAGGATAACTCGTAATATTTCAATAACATCATTCAGTATCGTGCAGCTCCGTTATGAGACTCAAAGGAAAGCAAAGAACTAGTGTTTTTGGATAAAGTTTAATTCAATCAGCAAATTAAGTTACTGCGCAGAGATTAATTCTCGGAATAACAATCCAAAGCAGATCGAAGTAATCGAGCCTTTTTCTAGTTCACTTGTTGTAGATCGACATCGATATCCACGCTGAATTCTTTTATCCTTACTTTTACCGTGTTAACATTAAGTATGCTATATTGACTGTAACTATGGTGCCAGCACGTTTTCTATTAGGTGTTCGCACGCGATACCAACTTATAGACGAGTGTGCCCATGGCATAGGAGCATGACCCTAAAATTTCAGATTTCAAGCTGAGTTTGAAGTGGATGATGAGTTTAAAGTGTTAAAGTGGATGATGAAATCCATTCGTCTCAGAAAAGATACAAAAAACACATACCTCCAATCTTTAAGCATTATGCTTCTTTGCATTTTAAATGTGCAAGCCTGCGAAAAAACGCATATTATTGGTTAAATAAGCTTAACTTCGTTCACTCTTCTCCAGTAAAGTATTACTTGGAGAAAATCATTTTCGTCCGAAAAAAATTTACTGTAGCATTTATTACCGGATCATCACTGCGCTAACGCATTTCACGTCTGTCTGCTGATCATCGAAAGGCCTTTTTAGAATGCAACTGTAATAGGCTGCTGCGAGAAATGAGAAGTTTAGAGGTGGCAGGAATTCTAATGATTCCACTGCTAATTTGTGGTATGTTTGGAAATTTACAATTGATGATTGTTACGTGGAGGTACAAACAGTTGCAACATCGCAATGGCATACTGGTTGCAATTATTGCATGCATGGATTTTGTGAGTTTTTATCATTTGCGCATAAATAATGTACAACTGCACAAGGAAACCAAAGTGGACATGTTTTTTACGCACTTGTGCTCGGCAAATAAACAGGTACAAAAGGGCATTCAGCTCGGAAGCAGTTCGATTGCCCGCTGGGAATTCGCCTTTAGCTATCGTTTCTGCAATTGCCCTAACGATAAAAGGCAGCGGTCCTGAATACCCGGCAACGAAGGTTTTTGCGTCAGTATGCCGAAAATGTTTTGAATTTTTTTTTTAATCCCTCAGCGCCCCGAACTTTTGTTTCATCTTATTTTTTACCCAGTTTCATCAGCGGATACCTGAGATATTTTTCACTAATTGTTTGTGAGTGAAAAATATTTCATCTATCCGCAGACCAAACTGTTTAAATTTACCATGAAGCGAAAAGCTGAGGACGCAGCGGGATTACAAATACC